AGGGATCTGGGACTGTTCAGCCTGGGGAAGAGAAGACTGCAGGGGGATTTGGTGATTATCTATAAGTATATAAGGAGTGAATAAGGAGTGGGAGCCAAGAGAAAAACTGTTCACTAGAGCATCCCAGGGGAGAACAATGAGCAACAGCTATAAACTGTTAGAGGATGGTTTCAAGTTGGATGTAAGGGAGAACTTCTTTACAGTAAGGGTGATCAGAATCTGGAATAAACTTCCAAAGGAAGCAGTGCAGTCTCCAACCTTGGAAGTCTTCAGAAGGAGTCTAGACAAACACCTTGCTGGGATCATTTAATCTCCATGGTATTCCTGCCCAGAGCAGGAGAGTTGGACTTGACGATCTTTCAAGGTCCCTTCCAACCCTTAGTTTCTATGATTTCTGTTCAAAACCAGTCAACAGGGTAGGGAAATCATTATGGGGTCCAAATGTATTATTATCCAAAGAATGATTTTCCTGCACAACCTACAAGCAAAATACATTTGAATAATCAGGAAGATAACACTGCACTACAAAGCATATCTGAACTTGTAATAAAATGTGGTACATACGCATAAACGTCATGGAGATGAAAGGTAACATACTACAGAACAAGAGGAAACAAAACAGAAGGACATATGTTGTACCATAGAGAGGGAAATCCTGTACACATTTTTATTTGTTTAGAAAGCCGCAATTAACTTTTGAAGCCCCCTTAGAAAACCCAGAACCAGGTTCTTAGAACTCAGATTTTGCTCATAAGTGATTCAATTTCAGTGGGCCCAGTGGTAGGATTAGGGTTAGAAGAATCTGGCCCATCATTAGCTAAATACTCACCGTCCCATTAGGAAATGAGGCAGCGATATCAAAAGGCAGCCAAAGGCCATGACTGTGCACCCCAAAGCAATTATTCTTGGTCTGTGAAGTTTTGCTCCAAAATAACTCACAAAAGCTATCAGCAACAAGTTTCCTGCAGGAAAAAAGAGCATGGCTCATTTCATTTTTAAATGCTAAGTCACTGTATGTATTTTTAAAGATATTGCAAACCTGACCAAGCCTGAGCATGACATCTTATCCATTTAATAATCACTTACCTTCTCTACCTCTACGAGCATTATGCAAAAAGGGGACTGGCTATGAAATACTCTGATAATAGAATGTTTAATAGAACAGAAATCATGACTAAAGAACAGAGGTTGAACTGAGGCTATCATGAGAAAGAAGCCAACACCAGTGAACCAATCTAGTGCTGTCAATGTCATTTAATAGAAATGTGAATGACAAGTTGAAAGAGAACACTGTGATAAAGAGAATCCAGAGTGGTATGGGACAATGCTGAAAGCAGGCAGCTTAAGACCTCCCCCCCTTTTTTTTTTTCTTTCGTGCTTTCTGAGAAACACATAGATAAAGTCATTCGTTAAACCATTTCCCTCTTCAGGAAAGAAAAAGCTTTACAATATATCGTAAGAAGTGTACGTGTACTTCAAAACAAAGCGTGTGGCTGCAGAACAATAGATGTATTAGCAAGCCATTATTCTCTTCTGATTTTTTTTTTATTGATACAAACATTATTTTGCATGGTTTATGTCAGTGATGTGGAAAATGAAGACATCTAAGTATTTATATTACAAATATAAATATTAGATTCATGTTTCTCCACTGAAAATAAGTAAACACCAGATAACATGCAAAGAGAAGAAATGGCACTGATAATCTTTAAGTAGTTTAATGGGAGGGGAAAGGCAGATCCCTGTACTGCTTATTAATATATTTACTTGTACACCACACATCCCAGATAAACACACAACCTGTTTTCAGAGGGATGAGTAAACTAAAAAACATTTTTCTTGCCAGCAGCATAAACACGGGCAAGCTGCATGCCATAGGAGGGAGCAACAACCTGTAACTGCTCTATTAACACCCTACCTGCTGGCTGGCTGTAGACAGTTCTTCCCTTAGCAGCCATGTCTGCAGCATGCATGTGTGAAAGGTGTGAAGGGTGTCCTTTCAACATGTGTACAGTAACTTTCCATTTCCTCACCCCCAGCCCCCTCCACCAATTTTACTTTGTTAAAGGGACACCATCAAAAATCAAGGTAGGTCCCACTCGATCCACATAGGGGATATTTTTTTGATAGTCTTGATACCTTTCCTTATAGTCTGACTTCACCCATGCCTTGCCATTGGCTTCCCACTCCCTTCTGTCTTGTGCAGTAGGTACAGCAGTGGCTTCTACAGGAGCTGCTCTCCTACTGGCACTATGATCACTGACAGAGGTGATCAGAAATGGGAGGAAAGTGGGTGCTATAATTGCAAGTGACAATCTTGCCTTTAAGGATTCAGGTATGGGCATTGTTTCTTCTGCTCAGAAATGTGACTTCAAAGTTGCATCTACTTTCTTAATAAATACACCTCACCTATCCAGAGCCTCATCTTCTAACTCTAATTACAGAAGTGTGTGTTTTATTTCTATTTACTCCTTTAAGATGTGTCCATATTTTGGATAAGGATATTGCTCCCTCACATACAAAACATTGCTGATTAAAGCTCCATGTATAAATATTAAGTATTGTCTTTTGCACAGAAACCCTACAGCTTACACTTCTAGTTTGATTGTCACATGCTTTTTTGTTCATCCTAAGCAGAACCAGGAACTAGCCAAACCAGAATCTGATCCTACATTCTGCTACTCATACAGGAGGTCCCAATGGGCATATCTACATGAGATGCTACTGTACAGTAGTTATTGCACACTTATTTAGTACTTGATTATTCAAGTACTTAAATAAATGCCCAGTAACCAGAGCTACTGTGCAGTAGTGTCAGTGAAGACCTTTTAAGTGATGCTACTGAGCAGTAGCCTAATAATACTATGTGGTGTATCAGTACTGTCGATGCTGTGACAAGCTACTACACAGTATTATTTGGCTACTGCACAGTTAGCATCTCATGTGACAGACCCAATGATACCTAAATACATGAATATAATTTTCAGCATTGGACAAAGGCTTATTCCAGGCCATTACTCTCTCGCACACAATAACTGCTGCAAACAAAATATTTTGAACAGGAAAGAGGCAAAACAGCCACTCGCACATGCTCTGGAAACATACTGTTTTGTCAAAAAAAACACCAAAAAAAACATTAAAAGGAAAGATTACCAACTTCAAAGCTGCCACTAATGATCCCCACCAGAGAGGCTGGAATATTAAATTGTTTCTCTATCTGCGTATTCATGCTGTTCATATAGGCACCAGACATGGTTTTAGCAACGTAGGCAAATGATAATGCCAACAGAAATACCTGGGAAAGGAAGACAGGAATTCATACAAAAATTAACAGGCACATCAATATTTAGCAATATCTCTTACCTATTTTTTCTGCCAAAGCTGTTCTGCCAGTAAGACTACATACACAGTCCTAGCATAATGAACTAAAGAAAATTTTGAGTCCAAATCCTATCAGTTTCATTTGTACACAGTATTTTGATTTCTCTTTACAAGAGTAAGAGAAACAAGATTTTGTCTTTTTCCTTTCATTTTTCATTTATGCTACCCTTGGCATTTTCAGGCCCCCATTTTCTAGAACACTTTAGATTGAGAACTCAAAATAAGGATGTGTTTCAGATTTAAAATCTAGGTGCTCAGGAATTTTTCCACTGAGTGGATGTCTACTGCAAAACTGCCATCTGCAGGACAGAATAGCAGGTGCATCCAAAGGAGAAAACTCAAGTAAATTAAATGCATAAAGACCAGATGGTGTGCCCTTTACTCGTATGGATTTGCAGGTATTCATAGAAGTAGCCTCATTGATTTTGGACTGCTTGTGTAAGTAACTGTTCATCCATATCAGGAGAGGTCACAGTGAGTATATCTATACATGCACTTTAATGCACAGTAAAATAGGCTACTGTGCATTAAGCATCACCTAA